ACTCGCAGTAGCATTTTTCTAAGCCACTTTAAATCCTTTCAGTATCAAGGTCAGCACAAGCAAACATTTGAACACAGTTTTAGTCAGTGGGGGCGGGTGTCTACTCTCATCTGCCTCAGTTGCTTTTCCAGGTAACCTCTGCCCTCTTCCCTTTATTTGTCTACCATTTCATCAACCATATAACTCGGCAAGTCAGCTGTCATTTTGTGTTACCTATGCTGGAAGTTCTCTTCTCTTAGATCCATCAGTAAGAGCTGGCTGCAGCCCCTCTTCCTTTTGTCAAGGGTGAAAGGAATGGGAACGTATGTCCAAGGCACAGCGTTCAGGACACTGGTTATACACATGGGGAGATCGAGCAGCCACATAAATATGATGGCCATAGATCGAAGCTTTTTGAATAAAACAGGAATCAAGTCCAAACAGATATGAATGAATGAATGGTGAGAAAGCCCCACAAAGCCTCAAAGTAGTGTCCCCAAAATACTTACTGATTAACAAGTACAAAACACACTCTAGGGCCGGCCAAGTGGCGCGTTGGTTAAGAGCTGGCTTGGGATGCCAGAGGGCCCCGGTTCAGATCCCATATATGAGGGCCAGTGACACTGCCCTCTACAGCTAAGATGCTGAACAACAGCTCAACCTGGACCTGGGCTGCTGTGAGCCGCTGGCAATGGTGTAGGCTGCAGCCCCTGCTGCAGTGGGTTGCCATGGGCTACCGTATGTAGCCAGCAGCCAGCGTGAGCGGGCAGCAGCCAGTGTGAGCGGCCAGCAGCCGCCGTCCAGAAGCTGGCGACTGATCTGCCTCGCCCGGGAAGAGCGCAATGATGGTGCCAACTTGGGCCAGTGAAGCAACATCCTCCACAACTAGACTGAAGAACAAAAAGGACAGCAACTTGTCTGTTCCCCTTCCCCCAATTCTCTAGCGATGTTCCCCTTCCCCCAATTCCCCAATTAAAAAAAAAATCTTTAAAAACAAAACAAAACAAAAAACTACTCTAATTAACTTTACAATGGAGAAACCTGACCGATAACATCTTACCAAATGATAATAACATCATCAGTAGAAATCTACACTGTGTGCCTCCAAACATGATGCACTAAAAAGAACAGAGCATGGCCTTAGTGTCATTCCAAACAAAAAACGCCTACATCACGAGGAAACTCCAGCCAAATCTAAATTAAGGGACATTCTGCAAAGTAACGAGCCACTACTCAGTGGTAAGTGAAAATGCTTTAAAACTGAAAACAAGCGTAAGAATATAGATGGATTAAAACTTGGAGGAAAGGCACAATAATTATAAACTGGATTTAGCCATTTTAAACACAGCTTTAGCTGGTCACTCAAGCCATCTATATTTGCAATACAGCAATATAAGTAATTCTTTATTTTTGCATTAAATAACCATGAAAAGGTGGCAAGTTTAATAAGTCCTCTAATTTTTTTTTTTTTAAGATTTTTATTGGGGAATTGGGGGGATGGGAACAGCGCTGGGGAACTGGGGGAAAGGGAACAGACAAGTTGCTGTTGTTTCTGTTCTTCAGTCTAGCTGTGGAGGACGCTGCCCCACTGGCCCAAGCCGGCACCATCACTGCGCTCCTCCTGGTCGAGGCAGACCAGTCGCCGGCCTCTGGACGGCCGCTCACCGCGACTGCCGGCCACTCACGCCGGTTGCCGGCCACACATGGCAGCCCATGACAACCCACTGCCACAGGGGCCGCAGCCCACGCCATTGCCGGTGACCCACGGCAGCCCAGCCCCAGGTCGAGCTGCCATTCAGCATCCCAGCCGCGGAGGGCAGTGTCACTGGCCCTCACATGTGGGATCCGAACCCGGGGCCCTCCGGCAGTACCAAGCCAGCTCCCAACCATCGCGCCACTCGGCCGGCCCAGTCCTCTAATTTTAAAGTGATATGTTGAGATATCTGTAACAACTGTAATATAATAGGAAAATATCTGAGGTTTCTATTGATGACAGTCAGTTGCTGTAAATACTACTGTAGCTGTTGCCTATATTCATAATTGAAGAAACTGTTAAATTCTAGGTCAATGAAAACAAAAAGTAATCTTTTTCTACCTAAGTTCATAGACCCCCTGAATTCTATGCCTGGAACTTTTGGGGCCCATGAGGGGTAAGTTACCCTACAGCGGATCCCTGCTGTTCTCAAGATAAACATTTCTATCATTTGGCTTCAGGGGCACTTCATGATCCGACGACCCCTTGCCACCACTCACCCTCAATTTTGAAAGTCATGTTTTGTAGCTCTTATCCTACTAAGTTAAACTCTTACCTTCAGATCTTTGCAATACTATTTCCTTTGCCTGCAATATTCTTCCAGCTCTCTTTGCCTCGCAAACTGCCAATCATCTAACAGCTGTCAGTTTACATCACTGTTTCTGGAAACCAGGATTGTGTTAGATGAATTTTCATGTGCCCCCACAGCACCCAGCACTTGCTACCCTAGCACAGTGTTTCCCATACTGTAAGGAAACTGGGAAGCACTTGAACTGTGTCTCAAATCCCCGCTGCTTGCATGCTGCCTGGTAGAGTAGGCACTTCAATAATTGCGGAAGGAAGGAAAGAAGGGAAATTCAATTTATTTGCTGTTTCATGACCTTGAATTCTACCCTTAATTCCTTACTGACTCTCACAAATGCAAGCTGTTGCTCACAATGGGAACCAGAAGAGTGTGGGACTCGATTAACATAAAATAACTATTTTTGCTAGAAAAATCACTTTCTATTGAAAATGAAGGACATTATCACTATAATTATAAATCCATATCAGGAAGATTTTACCACTTTGCAATACTAAGTAAATCACTACACTAAATAAAACATAAAATAAAATTGTGTCAAGAGATGACATGTACTATCTATCTCAGTAACTGTCAACTATGCACACATGACTTCAAAGTGGTGGTGGTGGCAGTGGTGGAGGGACTCACAGGACCCTGGGAGGCGTTGTTGGGGGGGTGTTATCAGAATAGATGGTTCTGAGATCTGATCTTACTGTAGTGGATCAATGATGAAAATAGCTAAGTGTGAGCATCAGAAGACCTTCCAGTCCACCTAAGGCATGATCTCTGTAGTTCTGAAAAGCGAAAGTATAAAGTAATATAAAACAGTTAGGGACCACATCTGGGTGTGTGTGTTTATAAAGGTGATAGTGGGTAACTGATGGCTTGCTGACGGATGAATGAGATTGTGGAGCTGGGGGATATGTGTACATGAAAGGCTACTCAGTTCTGAGCAATCATGAAAAGATTTTACTACTGACCTTTGTAACTATGAAGGTTTCTACACTTGATCTGAGCTCAAAATTAAAAAAAAAAAAAAAGAAAGAATCAATGAGGTGGAGGGAGTCTAACTGTGTAGGCCTCTCCCTGCTGTGCTCAGCCATGGCTGCTGGGAGGAATGCACGCTCATCTTCAAGTCCACTGTGATGGTGAAAGAATGAGAACCACTGTATTAAATTGGTCAAACAGCAGATCAAGCCAATGCTATGTCAACAAACTCTGTAAAAAAACCAGATAATCAAATGCTTTCTGCATTACCTTAGACTGAAAGTACCAAAGGCTGAGGGGGAGGGAAGGGAGCTGGGGGGATTTCAAAATACTACACTGATGTAAAGATTTTAGTGTCATGTCAGGAATTTAAAACACAAACAGACTAGAAGTTGGCCAGAAAAAAAGCAATGAGACATGAGCTGAAATCAGACTACAAATTGCTGAAGGGGTAAAACTGAAGTCTTGTTCTGGGGACAGGGTGTGAATCCACTTTGATTGGGAGGTGTGTCTGAGTGGTGACAGGTCAGAGTGTGACTGAATGACAAAAATAAAGAATATGGATTTTATCAGAGGCAGATCCAGGCACTAATGGTTTCCAAAGAAGGGTACACAGAGTGATATTCTTGGGAAGATTAACCTAAGGATCCTATATAGGGCGAATGAAGGGGTTGAGAACAGAAGTAGAAAAACCAATGATGAATAATAAACTAAACTGCTTGACACAAGATTAACAAAAATGCCGTTAAAATACTAGAAGGTGGATCCTGCCACCTGTAATCAGAAATGATACGAGAATACGGGAGAGTTATTGCACATATTACCTATGTGGCACTGTAATTTAACACAAGCAAAAGATATCACTTGTCAATTTTAACTCACAAGGCCTGCTTTCTTCTCTTTTATTGTATGAGTGTTGAGTTTTTCATTAAAAAGGCATAACGTAAATATAACAAACAGAAAAATAAAATACTGCTTTTAATTTTAAAAAATCACACACAAAAACTTATTACAATGTCCATAAAACAATTAAAAGTAGGGCTTTTTCAAATTCTCAAATGTTTTATGTAGCCACTTTATACTGAACTAGGAAACTTGGCCTTTACTTTTAAAATGTGGGGGATGTTAGAAGAAACGCCTTTGGCTTAGTGCTCGAGTCCACACAAGTATTAAGGTTTATGATCACGTAATAATGTTCTTACAGTTGATCATAAAATCTGGACATTATCAGCCGGCTAATCTCCATGGTTGACATTTTTACGATTTTAAAAAAGTCATCTATTAGGGACAACTTCACCACGCTCTGCAAAGAATCAGTAGTAAAAGCTTTGGTACGCCTGGGTGGGAAAGGGGAGCACGACCTGCAGCTCTGCGCCCGCTTCGCCGACCTGGGAGGGAGGGGCACCGTGCAAGGAAAAGTGTGCGAGTTCAGAGTTGAACTAAGACACGCCCACACCCATGACCGCTGAATTTGTGTCGCCTGGCTCTGTCTGTGGAGCTGGGCTGCAGGCCTTTCTACTCCCGGGAGAGGCGGGACGTGCTGTCACAGGCTCGCGAACCCGCGGGGGCGCGCGGTGGGGGTCTCACGGTGGGGCTTTCACTCACCCCCGTCGGGGTCTCCGCGGCGCCACCTGCACCTTACTCCGCCTCCCGCGGCCCCCAGCGTCGGAGGAAGGAGGAGCTCGGCGGCGGCTGGCGGAAGGGGCCCGTCAGTACCTGCGCTAAGACTGTGAGGCTGCCCTCGGGTGCTGCCACATTCACGCGGCCGTGGTGCCACGCCGCTCCCGCTCCTGCCAGCGCCACACCGGCCACTGCCGCCGCCAAGGGGCCAGGGCCCAGGACGGCCCGCCGGCCGGCAGCCAACCCGCGCCACAGCCTCGCGCCCCAGGTCGCTAGCTGAACGCCTCGGGCCGCCGCCATCTTTGCGGAAGCGCCCCGCGACGCGAGAACTTCCGCGCCTGGCGGGCCTCGCGAGATCCTGAGGCCTTCGCCCCGCCCCGCTTCCTGCGTCCAGAAAGAGCTGCGGGCGACCTCGGAGCTGCTGGCAGGGATCGAGGACACGCCTTCCACTGTGTTGGGAACGGCGGAACTGGAAAGGGGCCCGGATGACCAAGTAGGCCCTCAGTCCCGGGCTAGACAAAGCCGTGTTGTGGAGGAAGTGCCACGTTTCCCGTAAGCGAGAGTGTCACTCTGTGTTGGTCACTGAGGGGTCCAGGGTTAGTCAGCGCTATACCGTGGACAGGAGGCAGCACTTGTGATAACTGTGATAAACTGCAGCTTGCCCTCCGACAGGCACGATCCGAGTAGTGGTTGGGACTCGGAGCTGGAATGTTGTGCATCCCTGAGAACTAGATTTGCTCTCAGTTCCACAAGCCTACCTGTATTAAGAATTTATTAAAACTGTCATGTGTACAAATCTACAAAAGCTGTAGGTAATTTTACACAGGCATTTAAAATAACATCAGTTAGTTCTCTGACCTCTTGTAAACCTTGTTACAAAATTGTTTCTCCTTGTGTCACTTAAGCAGCTAAGCATACTTTTTTAAAATTTAGTTTTAGATTGTGATAAAATATACATAAAATTTACCATTTTAACCGTTTTTAGGTCTACAATTCAGTGGCACTAAGTACATTCATGTTCTTGTGCAACCATTATACCATCTAGAAGCTTTTTCATCTTGCAAAAATGGCCAACTTAGGGGAAAAAAGTGTCTTCCTCATCCTTCCTATCATATTCTTGAAAATTTTTTCCAATTACAGTTGACATACAATATATTAGTTTCAAGTGGTTAGCATAGTGGTTAGACATTTATATAACTTATGAAGTGATCCACCCGATAAGTCTAGAACCCACCTGGCACTATACATAGTTATTACAATATTATTGACTATATTCCCTATGCTGTACTTTATATCACATGACTTTTGTAACAACCAATTTGTACATCTTAATCCCTTCACCTTTTCCACTAATCCCCCAACCCCGCTCCCATCTGGCAACAATCATTTTATTCTCTGTATCTACCTATCCTCATATTCTTGACTGCTCTTCCATTTTTGCCAAATCATATCCTATCCCTGTCATCTAACTTTGATGAAGTATTTTCTTATAAACTCCCAGACAAAGCCGCTCTAATCCAGGCAATCACTATTTACTGAATGTTGAATTTTTTTTTTTTAAGATTTTTATTGGGGAATTGGGGGAAGGGGAACAGACAAGTTGCTATCCTTTTGTTCTTCAGTCTAGTTGTGGAGGACATTGCTTCACTGGCCCAAGTTGGCACCATCATTGCACTCTTCCCAGGTGAGGCAGATCAGTCGCCAGCTTTTGGATGGCCGCTCATGACGGCTGCTGGCCGCTCACGCTGGCTGCTGGCTACACACGGTAGCCCATGGCAACCCGCTACAGCAGGGGCTGCAGCCTTCGCTGTCCCCGGACTCACGGCAGCCCAGCTCCAGGTTGAGCTGTTGTTCAGCATCTTAGCTGTAGAGGACAGTGTCACTGGCCCTCATATGTGGGATCCGAACCGGGGCCCTCTGGTGTCCCAAGCCAGCTCTTAACCATCGCGCCACTCGGCCGGCCCTGAATGTTGAATTTAAACTATATTCTAATTCAGTGTTTGATAGTATCCATTATTACACCTGGGACCAAGTCATGCAGAAGCACCACTACCCGATGTCGCTGTCATCAGGGACCCAGGCGTTTTCCCCAGTGCAGATCAGAACAGTACCTCAGTCCTAGCTGTTCCATTGGTCATAAGAAACGATTTAGCGGAGGCAGATGACTTGGCTTTATTTTGTCGTCTCTGATCCTTCATTCTTTGGTCAAGACATTTCAGAGTCAGTTTACCTCATGAACTTTGTCCAGCCTCTGAAGTGTCCCTGGCCATTGGAAGCTTTGCGTGGGCACGCAGAAACTGAACCAAAGTCAAAGATGCCGAGAATCCTGATCTTATAATCACTGCAGTCTTGAAGTTTTGCAAAAGTAACAAACAAAACACAAGGGCTACACTAAATCTAATTTGACCACTTCATTCCTTGGATCCTCTGATCATAATCCACCCTTAGTTCTTGCTTCCCTTTTCACAGCCAGCTTATCTGGATTAACCTGCAGTTAATTGGCGCATCCTCTCTCCCCAGCTGCTGAAACCACTCTCAGGGTGTCTTCCCAGGAAGTAAGTATGTCAGGCTCCCTGTGCACAGGTGTGTGAGTCAGACCACAGGGTTCAAATCCTGGTTCTACCAGGATGGTCACTGTGATTTGGGGCAAATATTTAATCCCCGAGTCTCAGTTTTCTCAACTGTAAATAATTCATATGGCTTGGGGTTGGGGATTAAATGAGAATTCTATAGGAAGTGACTAGCCAAATGTCTGGCACACGGTCGACTCACCACAGATGTTAGTTCACCTTCTTCAAGGTCTGGCTTACTCCTGCCTTCTGATCACAAATGACCGAAAGTTCATGATTCCAGATCACTGGTCTGTCTAACCTGAGATTTCCCTGCTTGACCTCGTAGACCTCTGGTCTGTTTTTCACCTCTCCTAACCCTAGTAGCTCCTGGCATGTGTCCTCCTTTTCTGGATTATTGAAAACTAGCTTGTTTCTGTGCCCTGGTGATTATAGGATTTCTAGGCTATGTTTGGACATCCTGATGTCTTATCTTGTAGTTTATTCTTGATTTCCATAAACCATGGTTAAAATGGGAGGTTATTTGTATACATACTAATTCACACAGTTCCTATAGCCATTAAATGAAACCTCACATCTTTTACTTAGTCATGACCCCAAGCCCCCAGTTGGTGCATATTCCTATTAGAGCATGTGGCGTATTTGAAACATGGTATTTCTCCCACAGTTTGTAGCTGAGATATCTTGTTTTTCTGTTTCCTCAGTGCCCAACATATGTCAGACATTCAATGAATGAATATATGAATAAGTGACTACACAGATGGCACAAATGAAACTTTGGTGTGCTTATCTCCGTTCTTTGGGCACCAAACATACAGAAACATATTATTCCTTTTGTGTAATTTATTTTTCAAGACAAAACCTCAATTTAATTTATTTTCTTTTGCTGAAAAATTTTGAACCTATTTGGAAAACTGCTTTGTAATTAGTTTTGTGTGTGTGTGTGTGTGTGTTGTGTGTGTGTGTGTGTGTGTGTGTGTGTGTGTGTGTTAACATGCCCAGGCCTCTAGCACTCTCATTAAGATTTAATGTATTCAAATTTTTCTTTTTCAGAGGAAACAAATTCTTATAATAGAACCAGTCTCTAGCCGACTAACCATTCTAAGTATGAAATCTTCCCTGGCAGCTGCTGACATTTCTTTAAGCACTTGACTATATTGGTCTTTTTAGGTTCCAGCTTTGTTCATTTCTTCATTACCAGCTGTAGAGAAAGTCCTTGGCTGGGATGTATTTTCAACCATGTAGTTTATAAACCAATACCCAAATAAGGAACTGCTTCTAAAGCTATAAGATCTATGCTGTTTGAGATGGTAGTTGAGAAAAACAAAAGAGAAACACCGATAGTTTCAAGATAATTCACTTACTCTGTGCAAAGGGACAGAAAAACAGTTTTGAGGCAGAAAAACTGTTCTCAAGGGGCTTTACTTCACTGAAGAGACCAAGTCTGAATTTCAAAATGATGCAAGGTGGCATTTAACTATTGGAATTTAGAGAGGAAGAAGAGCATGGTGGCTGGAGCAATCAGAAAGGCATCTAGGGAAGGGAGGAGACTTAATCTGGACCTTGAAAGTGAGAAAGGTTTGGATAGGTAGAGTCCTCCAAGATTGGAGGAATAATACAGTTGAGAATAGTAAGGAAGAGAACTAGATACGGTGTGGTTTACATGTCTTGGAACAGAAGGGCTAGTTGGTTTAGGGCTGGCCTTGAGTGACTTGGGGACCACAAGGGGATCATGCAGTAATTTCCACCAATATATGGCACAGCTGTCAGCTCTCCTGACCCTCCTCACAGTTGTCTTTGGGGTGTTCACGACTCCTTTTTTGCCATCCTCACCCACTTTGTATTTGATCTCCTCTGTGTCTCAGACACTCTACCCAGCGATTATCTTCTGCCTGTCCAGATTTTATCCTGGCCTTTCTTGCCCACTGTCTCCTGGGCTTCTCCAAATTATCTCCCTACTACCTGCAACCAAAACTTTGATTTTCCCTGGGTTTCTGATCTTGAACGAAGGAGATCAACTAGCTTTTCTCATTGAAGACATTTACTGTATTATATTTCCATTTTAAAAGACAAAGTTATTAACTCATGCATCTTTGTGTGGGGAAGATAAACAAAATTGCTATCCTGATTCTGACACATTGTTTACTGTTGTATTAAAGAATAATGTATAAGACTGATTATCTCAGGTGGAGGAGAAAAAATATGGAGGATTTTAAAAGGTGAATTAAGGAGGTTGAACTTAATCCTACAGTAATAAAGTATAATAAATGACACACAAATGGACATTATTAAAGAACCATTGCTTGGAATAGACAGAGGTTATACTATATTTATGGTGGATAATTGTGTACTGGAGGCTATGATTCACTCTCAGAGGCCCTAGATGAGTCCAAAGAATTGCTACTTATGTCTTTTTTGGTGCAGTTTGGGACCATGGGTAAATGTATCTGGATATCATGATTGATACCAGCATGTGTAGAAATAGGTCAAGATTCAGTCTTACTGGCAGTGACAAAACAAGGCCAGGAGTCAATTTTCAATGTTTTTCAGACCCTCCTCTGCTTCTTGTTCCCTTCCCATCGTCCCAGTTTGCACTCTCATTGCCATGTACTTTGATGACTGCAGTCGTCTCTTGACACGTACTGTTGGTTCTTGTCTTTTTCTCCTCTGAAGCATCCCATAGATCTATGTCAGATCAGTTTTCCTAGAACATTTCTCTCACCATACTTCCATTAGCTGTGTGATTTAACCTCCCTAACCCTCTATCTCCTTGTCAGAAAATGAGGAGATTGGTTTCAGTTTATTTTTTCAGTTCTAAA